CTGTGGATACCCAGAGATGGTAAAGGATTAAATTTCCAATTATAATAATTAGAGATAAGCAGACCAGTACCTCCACCTTTACCAGTCAGACAGGGGTGTGGGAAATTGAGAAATTACTGGAGTGCTGCAGGTGTAGCGTTGTCCTCTGGTTTGATCCAGGTCTCTGTCAGGACCATGAGGTGTAGCCTTGAATGACTAGTAATAGATGTAATGAAATCTGCTTTGTTTACTGCAGACTGGCAATTCCAGAGACCAATAGAAAAAGAAAGTAGTGTATTAGCAGACATAGGCAAAATGCGCAAGTTGTCAAGACTGCACTGCCTACAGTGTGTGATGCATGGTTTGCGAGTGTTAGTAATAGTAGGGATTTGGAAACAGTAAAATTGGTCATAAAAACTGAAAAGGAATTGAAACAATTTGTAGAAAGGAGGACGAATAAAAAGCGATACTTACGTCCCTTGCCGGTGTCCCTGCTCAGTGGAGTTGCACAGGTAGGGTCGATGGTATTTATACTCTTTGGTCTTCACACAAGGGCTGCCGTGGCATACTAACCTTTTTTATATGTCTGACAAAACTGTAATTGAATTCAGCTGGACACACTTTACTCTTTATCACAACAAAGGGCCAAGCAGTGGTGTATAAAGTACCTGAAAGCCATACTCAAGTAAAAGTACAGATATCTTACCAGAAAACGACTTTGGTAAAAGTTGAAGTCACCATTTAGAATATTGCTTGAGTAAAAGTCTTAAAATATGTGATATTTATTGTACTTAGTAAATGCAAAATGGAAAAGAAGCAAATATATATAAATAAATATATATGTAATATATAAAAAAATGTTCATACACAGCTTGAGTAGCAAGATTGTGTTCAGTTTTAACTCTTTCTTCCATTTTGTATTTTTGGTTAAAAATAAGAAGCACTTCATCCGGTCCTTATTGTCTTTCATTCCAACATAAGAAAACATTTCTGGAATCTGCATCTGAAATAGCATTTAGATGTATTTACACAGTTTAATG